GAAGTTTTTCTCTCTGACGAAAATGCTGGTGGTGGAGAGGTCCCTCTGGGTTGACCTAACCTCTGGGATATGTTGATCTCAGTCCTTGAACAATGCAATATTTTTTAAATATGCCTCCAAACGGGAGGCATATTTTATATATTTTAAAAATTGGAGGGTCTGGAGAGATGGATGGTTCAGTGGTTAAGAGCACTGACTGCGCTAACTGGATTCAATTCCCAGCACCCAAAAGGCAGCTCACAACTGTCTGTAACTCCAGTTCCAGAAAATTGGCATCCTCACATACATACATACAGGCAAAACACTAATGCACATAAAAAAAGTAATAATTATTTTTTTTAAAAAAATTGGAGGGCTAGAGAGACGGCTCAGCAGTCACGAGCTGTGCTTACGGAGGATCCAGGTTTGATTCCCAGCACCCAATGGTGGTTCACAATTGTCCATAACTCCAGTTCAGGGGATCTGAGGCTCTCTTCTGGCTTCTTCAGGCAGTGCACACATGTGCTGCACATACAGACAGGTAGGCAAAACATTCATACCCATAAACTTTTGAGGGGGGAGATTTCAAAACAGGGTTTCTCTGTGTAGCCTTGGCTGTCCTGGACTCGCTTTGTAGACCAGACCGCCTTAAACTCAGAGATTTGCCTGCCTCTGTCTCCCAAGTGCTAGGATCAAAGGCGTGTGCCACTACGCCTGGCTCATGAAATAATTTTTAAATCTAAAAAAAAATTAAAAACCTAAAGAGTTTTTTTTTATTTATTTTACATATAAGTGTGCTCTATCTGTAGATCATTTGCATGACAGAAGAGGGCATCAGATTCCAGTATAGATGGTTGTGAGCCACCATGTGGGTGCTGGGAATTGAACTCAGGACCTCTGGAAGAACAGACAGTGCTCTTAACCTCTGAGCCATCTCTCCAGCCCCAAGAAAATTTTTTAAACTATGAATATGTTTGTGTCTCTGTGTAGAACTGGCAGATACCCTCAGAGGCCAGAGAGGGTGTTGGATCTCCTAAAGCTGAAGTTATAGGCATCTGTGAGTTGCCAGATGTAGGTTCTAAGATCTAAATTTCCCTGTCATTCACTAAGTCGCTGCTAAGGGTAGTGGCACATGTCTAATTCCCAGCACTAGGGAGGCAAAGATAGGTGGGTCTCTGAGTTTGAGGACAGCCAGGCTGATGTAGAGAGAGCCTGTCTAAACAAAAAAAAAAAAAAAAGACTTGCCTGCTTACAGTCCATTCTTATGGAGACATTTTCTCCACTGAGGTTCCCTTTTCTCAGATGAACATAGCTTGTACCAAGTCGACATAAAACTAGCAGCCAGCATGGAGTGCATACTGCCCTTGCAAAGGACCAGAGTTGGGTTCCTGGCATCCATGTCAGGCAACTCACAATTGCCTATACTGCTAGCTCCAACGGGGATTACATGCCTCTAACCTTGTCAGCACTGGCAATCATGTGCTTAAACTCAATATACAGACGCACACTTAAAATAATAAAAAAATGGGCTGGAGAGCTGGCTCAGTGATTCAGAGCGCTGACTCTTCTTCCAGAGGTCCTGAGTTCAAGTCCCAGCAACCACGTGGTGGCTCGCCACCATCTATAATGAGACCTAATGCCCTCTTCTGGCGCGCAGGTGTACATGCAGATAGAGCGCTCATATACATAAAATAAATCTTTTAAAAGACAATCAAAATAACTTTAGAATATAATTAAAATGAAATTTGGGGGCTAGAGCAATGCCTTGGGCTTTAAGCGTACTTGTTGCTCTTGAGGAATGCTATAGGGGTCTGGGATAAGCTGTGGCCTTCAAGGAGAACCACTCAGTTCAATCTGTAGGTGGACAAAAAAAATTAATGTGCTGAGAAGAAGACCAATATGAAGGAAAGTCTGATATCATCGTCAGACTTGAAGAATGGGATGGCCTCAGAAGCCAGGAAAGTGAAAGTAACATGTTTGAGAACAGGAAGGCTTTAGGGAATGGGTGGGGGGACATGGGACAGGAAATGGCTAGCTTCTTCCAATGGGCTTTGGCAGGGGGAGGGGGTGGAAGTAACCCCAACATCAAGCAGCAGCCACTCTTTGTTTTTGTTTGTTTGTTTGTTTTGCCTGACATTCTTTTACCATATAGGCAGAGGTTTAAATACATAGTAACTATCCTAGCAAAAAAACAGAACAGGGCGTTCTGCTGGCAATCTTCTTCCGAAACAGATTTAGGTAAAGCTCCGTATAACTAAAACTCCATGGGCTATCAGAAGCTAAGTAAGACTTTAGTATTGATTTCAGTTCTGAGGCCACACGCAAATAATTCAAAACAGCACTAGCATTAAAGCGACAAGAGAGCAGAAAGACTCGGTGATTACATGTTTTGCTTTGTAGAGCCACAATGTGAATGATGGATATTGTGACTTCCTTGTTGCTCTTTGATGTGGTGTGAGGGCAGCTGGACATTTAGGTGAATGTACCACAAGGAAGCAGCTGTTGTGACTGGCCGGAGCTTCACCAAGGACTCACTGCTTCCCTCTCTCTCCTTTCTTGGATCCTTGTTTCATTGTGTAATCAGCCAGGGCCTGGATGGTGTCTTCCGCTGGTATAGAGCAGTGTAGTTTCATGGGGGAAAGGCAGAGCTCCTTGGCAGTGCCTGTGTTTTAAATGATTGACCACTATCTTCACTCTCACCCATTTGGAAGCTAACGAGCTGGAGGCAATTGCAAAAAGGCAAACAAATGTTTTAAACCTGGCATCCAAGATCATCCTCTTCATCTCCTTGAATCTGCAGTCTCACGACATCGCTGCTAAGTCCAAAGTGAACCCCCCAAAAAATGGCAGTGCTGCTGACAATGCCATAAATAACAGTCTGGCCTCAGCTCAGGCTGGGACTCTGACCAGGTAAACAGAAGGATGGCTAGTAGTTTTTGTAGGACCCTTTTGGTGTTGCAAAACCCCTCATGAAGAGGAATGTCGAGCTGTTTGTTTATTGGCAAATGTAGTTCCTAAGGGAGGAAGCATGGTGTCAGAGCAACCTGACCCTTCTCAAGCTATTTCACTAACTTTGCTGGTTTCTCCACTGAGGAAAAGGGTGAAATCCCATAAAACTTAACCATGCTGCAGCCTCTTTGGTAAAGCTAGTAAGATAGCACAGCCCCCTTTGCCTGTCTGTAGCTGGCAGATGACCTGGAAAGAAAGATGGGGGCCGAGGAGGGCAGGCCAGAGCGTTTCCTTCTAATATTTCTTTCGATAAGCCCCACTATCAAAAAGCTCTGCATGCCTTCCTGACAGTAGATCAGTGGGCTTTGGGTGCTCTCTGTTCCACTTACCTAGCCCACACCTCTAGTTGAACATGGCTGGGTGCGGGGGTGAAGGGGTTGGGATAGGGTGGGGCGCTACATGTTGGGCTTGCTGCTTCCTCTCAGATGAAAAGCATGAACAACTCCTTCCCTCCTCTCACAGGAGTAACACTTTACCAACACCCTGCCAGCCGCACTGAAAGCCACGCATCTAAGGGACTACAACACAAACAAAACTTTGAGGTTTTGGAAAGGAAGCCATAAAGAAGTACTCCCCTCACCCCTGGGCCAGATCACAGTCCTCCTCTGTGAGTGGAGTCCTCTTGATTCCCAGAATCAGATTTAGGTGTTCTGTGCAAACGAGACAGTAGGCTCGTTAGATGAAGGGGCTAGCAAGATAGCAAGGTCAGACTTTCCGAGAACAACCAGACCCCTGAGTCATACCCGAGTCTTATGTATTTCAATATATTTACAACGGGCAGTAGGGTAGCATGTGCCCAGCTCACCTGAGCCAACACCCTCAGGAAGTCCTTCGCATTGGAACTTGAGAGAAACGCCACAAAGGTAGCACTTGGATCTCATTTCAATTTATTTTTAGTATTAAAAGCTGTCAAAGTAAGTTACACAGATGCTCTCACAGTGGACATGGCTCCTTACCCTGTAAACATTTACGGTGCCTAGCAACATTCTACCAAAGAGGACAATACAGGAAGAGCACGGGCAGTTTGTGACAGACAAGCCGGTTAGCTGCTTCAAGGCCAGGTAGCCAGGCCAGCATTGCAGGGTAAGTTGTGTTGGTAGGTCGTATCTTCAATACAGTGTGATAAGAAAGATTCTAACTCCCAAGAAGCCACAAATCCAGTCAGACCAAGAGAAAACATCACAGATGTTCCAGCTAAGGACAGTCTCCCCTTTCCTTTACTGGTCCTGTTTAGATACTGACTCCTGTGCTTGCCGTGTCTCAGGGAGCCTACTTTTGCTTTCCTTGTCTACCTATATCTCTGTAACTCTCCTTCAATCTGATGCAGTTTCCAGAATTAACTGGGTTCCAGGGGTGTTGACCTTACCCTGGCTGTCTCTTAAGTTCATAGGACTTGGTCAGACCCTGATATGTTCATCTCCCTCCTCAAGAGAGTGGGATTAATTTACATCCCATTTGGTTTAGAACCTTAATCCCCATACATTACATCCTTTTCTTTATTCTTGTCTGTATCCTCTATGCCAGTGCACCCTCTTAGCCTGGGTGTCCCCTTAGGGTCTGCCCTTGACCCCTGGCCAAAGTCTCTGCCACAAAAAAAAAAAAAAGAAAGAAAAAATCCTGAAACCCTCAGGGAGCTCCTTTCCCACAGTCCACATGGGTGTCCATCCACACTGCCTTTTTGCTTTGAAAAAGCAAGGAAGGACAAGAGTGTCCTGGAGGCAGCAGCAAATGACAGGGGTGGTGCAGTTTGGGTCTAGGGGACTCAGAGAGACTTCTAGTCATTCTTCTGTACTATTTCCCTGGGTGAGTGGTGTCTGGAAGAATCTGAAGTCTGTCTGTCTGGCCTTTTACCTCCCCACTGACCTCTGCCTGGCAACACCTGTGGGTCAGTGTTTACAGGTAACCCATTTGGGGACACGGAGCCCAGGAAGGACTCTCAAAGGTGTCCTGGCAACCCAGGACCTCCCTTCCTCACAGGCCAGCAACTGTCACGGCCTCGGGGCAGGCTCTGGCACTGTAGTCCAGGGAGGAACCAGTCAGTCTTCCATTTGCCCTTTTCTTGTCTTGCGGCGGCACCATGACCCCTGAAGGGGCTCTTGGCTGCATGTAACTAAGTAAGGGTCAAGGCAGAGCAAGCGGCACTTCAGCCTCCTACTTCTCGGCGGGCCTCTTACACAGTTGTTATGACATTGGGCTCCTCAATGGCAGAGCAGATGACCCAGCTGACATTGCGACTCCTGGAACAGGTAAGCCAGGCTTCACCCACTGCTGCTGTCAGCCTCTGCTGCTCCACTCAAATCTCCTGCCTCTACAAACTGCTAGAGAAGTCTCTGCTTCCAGAGTAAACCTTTTTCCTGCTTCTGGCTTCATAACGAACAACTATGGCTTCTTGTTTGCCTTGAGTGTGTGTGTGTGCGTGTGTGTGTGTGCTCTGTAGAACCAAGTAGGTTCTAGCAGTTTCCAAAGTGGAAAGGCAGGTTGAACCTACCAGCAACCTACCAGCAAGTGTATTTCTAGGGCACGTCCCTATAAAACTCCTGTGCCTTCAGGCTCCAGTGTTTAAAGGGATACTCCTTACTGTGGAGACAGAGCCCAACGCTCCCAGGGGGAAAACCTGGGCATGCCCAGTTTTCTCCACACTTTCAACCATCTGTGAAATTCTGAATGATCCATGACCAGCATTCCTGCCTCTACATACAACTAAGCATAGTTCCCTTGGTCTCTGTATGCTCTGCCAACATTGTTCTTCATCTTCCCACCTATTACTAACCCTGGCTGGATTCCCCTCAGGGCCCACGTGGCCCTGGAGAGGACCAGGGGATAGTCTCTCAAAAGTTGTGCCACAGAAGTCTCTCCGGAGCAGCCCATCCTTCTTGGGGACCCATTAATGTGTCTTCTTAGGACCCATCAGATCACCCCTCTGGGTCCCAGCAGGAAAACCCCATAGGGCCCATCAGGGTACCCCTTGTTACACATCAGGATGTCCTATTTGTGTCTCAGCAGATCAGCACATTGGGGCTCTTCAGAGTATCCCCTTTGGGTTTAAGATGGAGAGCATATATGTTTGAGAACACCACCAGAATAATCCTTAAGAGAATGGGACTTGCCCCATCCACTCACTTGACATGTGTGTCTTGCCCTCATACTTCCTTCTGGGTACTGACCACTCCTAGAGCTCTTGGAATATCAGCTCCATAGGCAGGTGGACAGCACAGACTCCACTCACCAACCTGGAGCCAAGTCACCATCACAGTTTCTTCTTCATAGATGCTGGAGCGGGAACGAGAAAACATGGACAGTTCAGGTAAGAGCATTAAGCTGCTTAGGCACATAGGGGAAGGAAGGAGAGCATGCACGGTGCACCCTTAGCCAGCAGACTCCTAGACAGAATGCATCTTATAGATGAGATGTACAGAGAGGTCAGGTGACATGCCTCAGGTTGCTCAGTGCAGAAACTGTCCCTGTTAATTCAGACTCATACTGCTTTGCTTCCAGGGGTGGGCGGGGGTCAGCCTTACTCTTCTCAGTACCTGGGACCAGCATGTAGGTTCATGGACATCTGAGTGAGGATGTGAGGCTAGAGAAACACATTTTGTTCTTCAGACCATGGAACATCCATGGCTGTGAGTAACTCTGGGAACCCCAAGGGCAGACAGCTGGACCCGGGTGCCTCACATCTAGATGGAAAATGCCACACCAGGCCACATGATCCAGGGGACCTATGCACAACCCAATGGCCGCAAATGTGCCAGAGTAAAGCAGAGTAAATGTCCCAGGTAAAGCTTCCAGAGAAGCCTGCCCAGGCAGTTCCAGTAGGATTCCAGGGCAAGCAGCCCCCTTCCAGAACTTTCTCCAGAGTAAGACCCTCTCCCCCAAATCACTGAACATGCCTGTCTTTTCCAGACAGCTTGGGGCTGGGGCTATGGAGGTATGACTGGGCCTGTGGAGGCCTCCTGCAGTACAGGAGTGCTGTGGCACCAAAAGACCTGTTGTATTGCCTTCCAAAGCCTTACAGGACCAAGAAAATCTACTGGGCTGACTCTGTCCCTTTCTATGATAGCCCGGCTATCCCTGCCACAACCTTGGCCCCTCCTTCTTCAGCATGGGTGTTTGTGACAGACCTGAGCTCTGTAGCCCAGGAAGCTCCAGGCTACTCTGAACCCCAGATGCAGAGAAGTTGGGATACTCTGCCAGAGCCAGCAGCCAGGATATATTTCTCAGTTTTGTGTGTGCCTTCTCCATCCAGGACAGCAGGAGAAGCCAGAGAGAGCTCTGCAGAGTGCTTTGAGAAGAAGGAAGGACCTTCTACAGAGGCTCTGGGTAGGCCTCCACCTTCTGCCAAACCTGGACCTCATTCCCCATGGGCTAATACACAGGCCAGCTCACCCCAACCAAAGCTTGCCTATACTCCTGGGGCCAAATTAGCTAATGTTTACAAATTGGGAATGGGTAATTGAACTGTGAGTATTAAGAGACTTTAGTATTCCCACCTTGTCACTTCCCTGTGAAAATTAGACAAGGTCAAAACTTAAGGTATGGGCAGTATGTGAGCTTAGGACCTGCTTAGGTCACCGCCAACAGAGCAGGCAATGGGCCAAGGTCCATTCCCACAGGAAGTGGAGCTCACCTAAACTAACCAGGCCAGCAGCAAGATGTGGCCCTGCCTAGAAGCATCTATATGGGCGTTTTCCCCAGCTGCGCTGGGACAGAAGGTTTGCCCTTGGCCTGGTAGGGAGCTCTCCACAGTGAGGTAGATGCTGAATCCATGAAGAACCATTAGACTGTTGGCTGAGAGAGAACAGCAATGACCACAAACTCAACAAGTATCCAGTATGTGTTAAGAGAATTTTCAAGTGTTTACCAAGGAGCATTTCTTGGGGTTACAACCGTGACGCAAGTCACATCTGGCCACCTATTTCCAATAAGCCAATTAAAAGTCAAATAACATTGGAAAGCAGAAAAGGATGTTTATTCAATATAGTCACATTGGGAAAAGGGACAAAGAGATCCCTAGTTCCAGGGACTCCACACTAAACATTTAGGATGCCATATTCTCTGGCAGGGGTGAGGCAGGAGAAAACCATGCTAGTGAGAGCTTGATCACCCAGTGAGGTTCACAGATTGAATCAGGGCCCTCTGCTGATGGCTCTACAGCCAACACTATGTCAACCTTATAGGAACAGCAGCTGATGGATGAGTACACCCCAGACCAGGCCTGGCGGACACATGGACGAGCCATGGTGCCAGCCCTGAACCCAGAGGTGCCTCCCATCGATGTCTTTCCTGCTGCCTCCCCACCTTTGCCCCGACCCCCAGAGCCACCACGGATCATCCAGCACCAGGTAGGAGGAGCTTGGGTATCAGCAACAGTGGGGTGGGAGGGTTTGAACTGAGACTTCACAGCAATGCAGAAGGGCACTGTGTTGGCAGCAGGCTATCCAATCAGGAAGGCCAGAGGCGTTTACCCTCTTTTTCCCTCCTACATTCCAGGGAGGCCAAAGGCTCTCACTTCTTTTCCGGGAGGTCCCAGCAGGATGCCAGTGTTCTAGAGTGGTCCAATCTGCTAAGAGCCAATAACAGCTTCATTTGTTGTCCATGGCACCATGGGTACTCTGAGGAGGACTGGCTTGGGGATGGCCATCTCCCAGGACAGACTCACCTCCTACTAGACCAGCCTAACAGCTGCACTGGATGAATTAGGGGAGTTTAGCACCACTGGGCCCTGAATTCAGAGGAGCATCACCCTTTAATACTTCACAGTGACCAGGGGTGATGAAGACCCTGACTTAGGAACTGGGTGGGTGGTGGTGGTGGTGCACACCTTTACCGGAAGCAGAGGCAGGTGGATCCCTGAGTTAGAGGCCAGCCTGGTCTACAAAGCAGGTTTTAGGACAGCCAGGGGTACACAGAGAAACTCTGTCTCGAGAAAACACACACACACACAGACCCTGACTTAGGGATAGGGTTACAAACAGCAGAGTCTTCCATTCTGAGAGCTTTATATGGTATGGCATACAAACAATATTCTGAGTCACTAGCAATAGAAACCAACTGACTTCTTGATTATGTGTGTGTGTGTGTGTGTGTGTTTAAATGGTATGTACTAGTAGTATGTGCCTGTGTGTGTGACGTGTATTGTGTATGAGGGCCACATGAGCGACAGTGCATATATGAACATCAGAGAGCAAATCTGTGGAGTAGGTTCTGTCCTTTCACTGTTATATGGGTTCTGGGGATCAAAGTCAGGTTGCCAAGCCTCTTGGCAAATACCTGTATTTGCTAAGCCATCTCACTGGTTCAAAAGGAATGTTCTTAAGCAGAGGAGGTAGAGGCCCAGGTGGGGCCTTTGTTTGGGACTCAGGATGAAGGAATGCAGGCAGTTGAGAATGAGCACAGAAGAAGAGGTTCTGGACATGTTGGTTACCTGTAAGACATCCGTGCTTTGGGCAGGGGAAACTGGCAGCAGCACTTAGCAGAGGGAATGGATCCGCTAGGACTCCCTTTGCTTGTGAGCTGTCTGCACCCAGGTTCCATATGCCTCGTGCTTGCCCTTTCAACCTGTTGTCAGGACCGTTGCATCTGGTTTTTTGTGTTGTTTTGTTTTAAATTTCTATTACTACTACTATTATTATTTTATTAATATGTTTTGCTTGCATGTGCCTGTGTGTGGGTGTTGGATCCCCTGGAACTGGAGTTACGGATAGTTGTGTACAGCCATGTGGGTGCTGGAAGTTGATCTGGGGTCCTCTGGACCCAGTACTTTTTACCACTGAGCCATCTCTCTCCAGCCCCCATGGTGCTTGTTTTCAAGACAGAGTCAGTCTCCCTATGTATCCCTGACTAGCCTAGAACTCCCTGTATAGCTCTGCCTCCTAAGTGCTGGCATTAAAATCAAGCATTACAACATCCGGCTGGTTTCATATTCTTCCTTTTGTTCTTTCCTTTGGTTTTTGAGACAGGGTTTCTCTGTGTATCCTTGGTTGTCCTGACACCCTTACACACCCTATAATCCCTGGACTAGCTTTGTAGCCCAGGCTGGCCTGGAACTCACAGAGATCCTCCTGCCTCGGCCTCCCCAAGTGCAGGGATTATAGGAGTGTGCCACTATACCTGGCTCTTACTCTTTTTTTTACATTTATTTATTTGTATTTTATGCGCATTGGTGTTTTGCCTGCATGTATGTCTGTGTGAGGGTGTCGGATCACAGAATTATAGTTTGTGAGCTGCCATGTGGGTTACTGGGATTTGAACCCAGGTCCTCTGAAAGAGCAGTCAGTGCTCTTAACCATTGAGCTATCACTCAAGTACCTGGTCTCATATTCTTAAAAGTTTGCCAAAAAATAGAGGACTAAGCTGGGCATGGTGGCCCACGCCTGTAATCCCAGCACTGGGGGAATTGAGGACAGCCAATGCTACACAGAGAAACTGTCTCAAAACACAAAAGAAGAAGAGGAGGAGGAGGAGGAAGCAGCAGTAGCAGCACATTTTGATTTTTACGAAATGGTTAGTGATAGGGACACATGTTGGCATCTGTCCTTAGCTGTTGTCATTTTTAACAGCAGAGAAGACACTCAGCTGAGCCCATGTGGTCCATGAGCCAAAACAATTCCCTACTTGTACTCTGCAGAGAAGGCTCCGAGGTCTGCTCTAGGCCTCTGATTGTGTGAATGGAAAGAAGGGGCAAGCTCATTATAGACTTGAAAGGAGGAGTCTTTAAAACCAGTCTTCCTGGTGTTTGCTTGAAATTGCTATACATGTATTTTCAACCAGAAGAGAAACCAGAGGCCACTTATGCACATCGAGGGCCACACATGCCCTGCCATATAGGGTAATCAGCAAAGCTGTAATGGTGCTATAGTAGACAAGCCACTGGAAAAGAATTGTGGACACCCGACTTTCATCAAGCAGGGGTCCACCCCTAGACTCCCACACCATGAAATTCCACTCTACTCCTCTTAAAATACATAAAGGTTAAAAGACTGGATACATACAATTTAAAATCTATTAAAACAAAAATAACCAGGCATTAACTACCTTTCTGAAGGCAGGAAATATGAGAAACATTAAAAATATTACATTGCTTGCTGAATGCAGTGTTATGTACTTAGATACTGTACTCTGGAGTCTGTTACAGGATATTTGATCCCATTGTGAACCCCAAATTTACTGTAAAACCCTGTTTATTGTTTGGTTTGTTTGAGCTCTAGTACACACCTTTAATCCAAGAACTTTCTGTTTAATCAGGTGATTATGGTGTGGTTCACCTAACCCTAGCACACACCTTTAATCCAAGAGCTCTCTGTATACCAGATCTAATAAAGTTAACCCTAGGTCAGGAGGCAGAGCAAGAAACCAGCTGACAGGGATTAATGTGTCAATGAAAGGACTTTTGAGTGGAGGGGTATTTAAGACAGCATGGAGAAAAAGAAAGGGCTTTATACCTCAAGCTCTGGCTTTAGCTTAGGCTTCAGCTCCTCAGTTCCCTGGCTTTTGGGGCTTTGAACTAGTAAGCCTTTGAACTTGTTGTTGTTGTTGTTGTTGTTGTTGTTATTATTATTATTATTATTATTATTATTATTATTATTATTATTATTATTTGGCCTTTTCCTCCTGGGCTGTCAGTTGAACTAGTGAGCCTTTTGGAGTTTTTCCATCCTGACATCCTGACCTGAGTGGGTAAGGTCAGCTGAGTACTTTGCCTCTCTGAGCTAGAAGGTTCTCACCCCAGCATTTGCTCCTGAGTCTTTATTGGTAAAATATAATGGCTGGGATTTTCATTTTTGCTTATGACATCAGGAGTCAGAGGCAGAAGTGTTGGGTGTACTTTTTAAAAACTTTTATTTACATCTCTTTATATCTTTTTTCTTCCTACTCCACCCCAGTCCCCTCTAACACCCCAACACCAGGCAGGAGAGAGAAAGGGCTAGTGGGGGAGGGACACCGTTGTCTTAGCTGCTTTCTGCTGATTGGGGTCATGGGGTTCCTTGGAGCCAGTCCAATCCTTGTCTCAGGAGATCTCCAACTTCTTGTCTCACTGCAAGGACAGCAATCAGCAGCCACAGGAGGGAAGCAGCAGCTGCCTTGTTCTTTATCAGAGTTCCCCAGCGGTAGTTATTCTCTTCCCAGAGTCCTCAAATTTAAATTATCTGCAGCTGGCAAGGAGCTCTCTCAGCGCATGCATGAGGCAAAGAGTTTGTTGCTGTGGACCATCTGAATCAGTCCCACATCCCACACCTGGGATTAAAACAAAACATGTTTATAATCCACAACTCAGAAGGACCAACACCAGCTCAACGACAGTCTGGTTTACAGGGAGTTCTATGTCAATCAGAGCTACATAGGGAGACCTTGTCTCAAAAACAAAACAACCATGCCCTAACAAAACCAGCTAGTCAACTGTCTATTTAACTTAGTGTTAATCATTTAAACTTCTCTTCAGATGGATGATAGATGGAGGGACGGGTAGAAGGACAGATAGGAGGGAAGATGGATGGATGGGCTGAACAGATGGATAGATGACTTGGGTGGATGGATATATGGATGGATGGGAGACGCTTGTGAAGATAGCTAATCAACTGGCCTTTCTTAGGTCCCCCAGCCTCCTGCCACCATCATTCAGCAGCTACCCCAGCAGCCACTGATTGCACAGATTTCTCCTCCTCAGGCCTTTCCCACTCAAAGATCAGGAAGTATTAAGGAAGGTGCGTATACATTCTATGTTGATATTGCTTTAGGTTTGTGAAAGGCTGAAAGGGAAAGCATTTTTGTAAGTAGGTGTTGTGCAACACCTTTTCCGTTGAGATGCAACACACATACACATCTATTTACCCCAGACAGAGAACCAAAAACTGACAAAAGAAACAATATCAATGAAATCCAACTTGGTGAACCAGTGAATTTATTGGGGTTACTTAGAGAAGCAAGGACAACTAAGAGGCAACCAAAATCACCTTAAGTCCACCCCAGGTTGGGTAATGACATAAAGAACCTGGAACCCCAGAGCCCTCTGCAAATCAACGGGTCAGAGTTTCTTCCAGGTAGCTTGGCTGGTCTGAACCCCTCAGCAGTCCTTACTGCTTTTATAACTTTGGGGAAGGAGGTGCTTTGTGTATCTGCTAAGTTTCAAAGACTTCCTGAGACTTGTGAGTTGTTTACTTTCTGCTACTGTGGGACTTTGATCTGCTGGAGGCTTGTTTAGGTTAACAGAAAACTAGATGCCCTTTCTGGAGATGGGGGCTGTAGGAGCAGATAAGAAATGGTTTTTCCTGGGAAACAAAAACCCACTTCACAAGGTTTCTGAAGAATGCTAAGTGTTTAGCATTCTGGGGCAGGGTCCAGCCTAAACTAAGCTCAGATTATCATTTTGAGGGGGGTTAATATCTGAAATTTTATAAGTAATTTTAAAAGAGGATTTTTATTTTGTGTATGTAAATGTTTTGCCTGCATATACATCAGTATAACATGTTCATACACTGTAGTGAGAATTCTGGAATTTTGGTTTCTTTAAAAATCACAGAAAGTGGGCTGGAGAGATGGTTCAGTGGTTAAGAGTACTGTCTGCTCTTCCAGAGGACCCAGGTTCAATTCCCAGCAACCACATGGCAGCTCACTACTATCTGTAACTCCAGTTCCAAGGGATCTGACACCTTCACACTGAAAAATCACAGAAATAGGGAGGGGGCTGGAATTAGGCTGTAAAATGATTAAATAAGTAAACTGCAGATAGTTTCCATGATTGTGTGACATTTGGAATTCTGGAAACTTTTCGGAGGGAATATAAATGCTAGGGCCCCAATGAGGTGGGTGGTGGTTTTTACTGGTCATTCAGGGGGGTTGTTGATCACAGTGTGTTAACTAGTCATTCACAAAGAAGAAACAAGAAGAAATTAGATATCCTGATGGCAAAGATCAAATTTTTCCCAAGGACCTCAATGTCCCTAATCAGCAGGAAGTAGTCTAGAAATAATGTTAGCCCCTTTCTGACCCTGACTTTATTCAGGGATTTCTTTCCTCTCTATCTTTCTTTCTCCCCTATCTAGTATTTAGAGGTTTGAAAGGGTAGAAGAAAAGGAATAGAGAGGGGTAGAAGAAAGAAGAGCCCATAAAGTAGCAAAGGCCGGCTACCAGAGGGCATCAGGTCCCCTAGAACTGGAGTCACAGATGGTTATAAGTTGCCATGTAGATGATGGGAATCCAAACGAATCAGCCAGTACTCCTAACCACAAAGGCATCTCTCCAGCCCCACATTTTATTTATTGATTTATGCTTGTTTGTTATTATTATTATTGATTTTTTGAGAGTTTTCTGAGTTTCTGTGTGTTACCCTGGCAGTCCTGGAACTCGATTTGTAGACAAGGCTGGCCCTGAACTCACAGAGATCCACCTGCCTTTGCCTCCCAAGTACTGGGATTAATGGTGTGCGACCACGCACCCAGCCCCACATTTTATTATTTTGTTTTCCTAGACAAAGTTTCTCTGTGTAGCCTTGGCTGTCCTGGACTCACTTTATAGACTAGGCTGGCCTCTAACTCAGAGATCCACCTGCCTCTGCCTGCCTGAGTGCTGGGATTTCAGGCACGCCTCAAGCACCCGGCTCTCATATTTTATTTTTAATTACATTTATTTATTTAACCGTGGAAGTGGGTGTGTGTATACACCACAATGCACTAGTAGAGACTAAAGGATAAGCCAGGTAGCTCTGGTGACAACAAAAGAACTCAAAAGCCTAGTGTGAGCCGTTACTGCCTCCTCAGTACTATATAAACCAGGTACGGTGACAAACCTGCAGTCCCAGTACTTGAGATCCAGAGGCAAGAGCATCACAAGTTCAGGGTCATCCTAGGCTACATAGTGAGTTTAGGGTCAGCCGGGGCTGACAGGATGTCTTGTCTCAGAACACACACACACACACACACACACACACACACACACACACACACACA